ACTAAAAAAACTAAAAAAATAAAATTTCTCAATTTCTCACATATTGTTATATTTTATTCATATTTAATTATGTTTCTTAGCTAACAATTTGATGTTAAATTTGAATAAAATTATATATAAGTGTGGGTGTACTTAATAAGAAAGAGGTGAATTACGGTTGAACAGACATATAGCACAAATTAAATTTTTTGTTAATATTTTGTTTTGATCAAAATGTATACAATTGGCTCCATCCTTAAGGGGTTAACTTTAACTAAATAACATATATTTTCTTAAAGGGACACTCTAGGCACCCAGACCACTCCAATGGGCCAACTCCCACTACCCTTAACCCTGCAAGTGTAATTATTGCAGTTTTTTATAAACTGCAATAATTACCTTGCAGGGTTAACTCCACCTCTAGTGGCTGCCACTAGAGGGCACTTCCTGGTCCATAGCACAGAAAACCTGTGCTAGAGCGTCGCTGGACGTCCTCACACTGTGTAAGGACCTCCAGCATCGCTCAATTCCCCATAGGAAAGTATTGAAAAGTATTTTCAATGCTTTCCTATGGAGAGCTCTAATGCGCATGCGCATTAGGTCTCCGCGACTGCGCGCGGGATCAGCCCACCGGCCAAAGTAATGAGGAGGAGGAGTGGCTGCGACCCGAAACCACCGCCGAGGGACATCGGCAGGGGTCTCAGGTAAGTGACTGAACGGGTTTTCACCCCTTCAGCAACTGGGGATTGGGAGGTGGGAGGGAGAGGAGACCTGCAGTGCCAGGAAAACAGATTGTTTTCCTTGCACTGGAGTGTCCCTTTAAGGTTTTTTTTTAGTTTCTTTAACTTTTTTGTTTTCTGAACTTTTTTTATACCTTTTTTTTTTACTTTTTTCACTTTTTTTTAAAAAAACTTTTCTAAAACTTTCTAAAATGTTTTAACCCTAGTCACCCAAACACCAGATTTCCCAATTTCCCCCTAGCTTCCATCCACCCAAACTAACTAAATAACTTAAATAAAACAAATAAAACAAGAAATTAAATAAATGTAACCCGTGTGGGTAAAAATAGATATCAGATCATTGCTAAACACAGGGCTTACACCTAGCAAAGCAGAAATGCTTTGACTTTAAATAAATTACTTTCTTTTTTAACTTTTTATACTTTTCTAAACTTTTAAAAACTTTTTTCATTTTTCACTTTTTACAAACTTGTTTAAACTTTCTAAAACTTTTCAAATTCCTAGCTACCCTCACACTGAATTCCCCAATTTCCCCTAGCTTCCACCCACCCCAGCTTGCTAAAACACTTAAATTAAAGTAAACAAATAATATATTTAACCCCTGAGGGTTCAAAACAAAATAAAGTTAACCCCTGAGTTTTTAAAAAAAGTACTGAGATCCATATTGTAATCACTATCAGTGATCAAAGGGTAATCCATGGTAATTTTTGTATCAGGAACAGGTAAGGGGGGTTTTGCTACTTTTGAACACTTTGAGAGAAACAAAGTTGCAAACAATCCATCTCTCTCCACCTTACCACACACACAGAGGTGAAGGGAGGCAGATCATAAGTCCCAGCAGCACTGTGATCATTGTGCCTGGCTGTCACAGCGATCACATATGCTGGTACAGCGCTATTGGCTGTAGCTGGCCGAGGCACCCAGCAAGTGCATTAACCCCACGACCGTGGTGATCTGGTGTTATCTTTAGTAAATGATGGATATTTTCCTTTGAATGCCTGGACTCTGGTTAACCCCTGTAATCCTGTTCCAGCCTTGGTTCCAGCCTTGGCTAACCTCTGCAACCTTGTTCCATCCTTGGTTAACCCCTGCAACCCTGCTACAACTTCAATCAAGCCTTTCATCATTTGTCCAGTGCTGAATCTCTGGTAAAATACTTTATTTTATCTTTTATTTCCAATAAAGATATTGCCTTATTTTCCACTTATAATGGACTTTTTCCGGTATACTTTTTTGCTTTATAATAAAAACCTTACATTTTAAGACTGCGTCTGTCCAAATCTCTGCATACTGAGCCCATTCATCCCAAACTTGATGACTGAAATAAAAAAGTATTTTTTTGAAGGATAGTGATTGTATGAAGCCATTTATTATCACATAGTTGTTTGGCTCCTTTTTAAATGATAGTGATAACAGAAATCAATCAAATGGCCCTGATCAAAAGTTTACATACCCTTGAATGTTTGGCCTTGGCACAGACACACACACAACAAATGGCAATTAAAGGTTAATTTCACAGACCTGTGACTATTTAAATTGCAGTTAGTGTCTGTGTTTAAATAGTCAATGAGTTTGTTGGCACTCACGTGAATGCACTGGGATAGATACTGAGCCATAAGGAGCAAAAAAGAACTGTTAGTAACAAGGTAATGGAACTTTATAAAGATGGAAAAGGATATAAAATTATATTGAAAGCCTTGAAAATGCCAGTCAGTACTGTTCAATCCATTATTAAGAAGTGGGAAATTTTGGGATCTCTTGATAGCAAACCAAGGTCAGGTAGACCAAGAAAGATTTCTGTCAGAGCTGCCAGAAGAATTGTTTAAGATACAAAGAATAACCCTCAGGGACCTCGGGAGAAATACAGGCTGCTCTGGGAAAAGATGATATGGTTGTTTTAAGGAGCACAATACGGTAATGCTTGAACAAAAATGAGCTGCATGGTCCAGTTGCCAGAAAGAAACATTTACTGCACCAATGCTACAAAAAAGCCCTGTTACAATATGCCCAACTACACCGTGACATGCCTCACAGTTTCTGGCACACTGTAATTTGGAGTGACAAGACCAAAATAGCGCTTACAGTTGTGACCATAGAGTTTTATGTTTGGAGAGGGGTCAATAAGGGCTATAGTAAAAAGAATACCATCCCCACTGTAAAGCATTGTGGTGTCTTAAATATGTTTTTGGGTGGGGGGAGCTATAAAAGCATGGGGAATCTTGTGATAATTAATGGCAAGATGAATGCATCATGTTATCAGAAAATACTGGCAGATAATTTGCATTCTTTTGCACACGGGACACTCTTGGACTTTCCAGCATGACAATGACCCTAAGCACAAGTCCAAGTTGACCCTCCAGTAGTTACAGCAAAAAAAGGTGAAGGTTCTGGAGTGGCAATCACAGTCTTCTGACCTTAATATCATCGAGCCAATATCATCGAGCTTAATAAGATGACCAAAGATTTTGTGTGACCTGGAGGCATTTTGCCAAGATGAATGGGCAGCTATACTACTTGTAAGAATTAGGGGCCTCAAAGACAATTATTACAAATAACTGCACACTGTCATTGACGCATTAAGAGTATACATACTTTTTTGTTGTTGTTTTTTTTGCCATGTTTTGTTTTATTATTGTGCTATTGTGTTATAAACTACAGTTGAATATGAATCCTGTAAGAAATAAAAGAAGTGTTTTCCCTGCTCACTCATGTTTTCTTTAAAAACATATATTACTAGTTCCCCAAGGGTATGCAAACTTTTGAGCACAACTGTATATATTTATTTATGTTTTACAAATTTAAGGGCTGAATATCAACTGTTTTTTGTTTTTCTTATACTGTTTGTCACAAGGTTGGGGAATCCGTGTATAGATTCATAGATTCCCTGCTGCCTCACCCCAATATTAGCGAGCACCTAATACTCTACCAGTTTCCAATTTGCTGTCTATATGCACCTGAGAAGATGCTCCACTCTTTGTGTTCAATACACCATTTGTACTACATTAAAGAATTCTTTTGAAATCAACATTTAGGTGATATTCCTCCTTTTTGAAATATGCAGAAATCAGTGATGCATACTAGGTGTCATATTCATGTACTGAGATTATATGAGTTACTTTCATTCAATTAACACTATTTTGTGGGTGATTTATTATTGAATCTTTATTTACCACCATTTTGGTAAAAGAAACCAATGTTGAATTGTTTAGTGGAATTAATTCATTACAACTTACCATTTTTGTAGTCTTTAAGATATATATTTATGGATACTTCGTTATTTGTTCAGTTTGAGGTATCTATGATGTAATAAAAAAGTTAAGTTTTAATGACACGTGTCCATTCATAGTTACACTCATTTTGCTCCCTCACTATATCCTCTAAAACACTACACTTTCTTCAGCTTTATGAGGTTTTTTTGGCAGCCACATTGTGGGTCACAGCATAATTTCTCTGATATGTATTTTACATAAATATGTTTATTTTAAAGAAAAATGAATTCTTTCTAAATGCATGACTGCTGATCCATAATCCATGTCCACACCAGACACCTTATTAGTGGATAAGGGCAACGGCCACAGCTTTATTAAATTTATAACTTTTAACATTATCCAAACCTGTCAGCTGTTGAGCGGTTGCCCAACAGACAGTTCCCCCAACCTTTTTCCATAGCCTAACATAGAATGTGATGGCAGATAAGAACCATTCGGCCCATCTAGTCTGCCCAATTTTCTAAATACTTTCATTAGTCCCTAGTCTTATCTTATAGTTAGGATAGCCTTATGCCTATCCCACGCATTCTTAAACAGTCGGCACTCCGCCATCTGCTCCCGTGCGGGCTGTCATCTCCCCAAAGCAACTCTTCATCTTCACATTTTCTTTGCGCTGTCCAGGATACCGCCAAGCTGTGACAAAACAGAAAAACAAAGCCAGACACCAAACAACCAACTGGGTGGGCGGGCGGGAAAGTCAGTATTCTCCTGTCCCTTGTCTCTGCTGAGTCTCCTCCCCCGGCCTCTTACCAAACTGGCACTTTGCAGCATTGTATATATATTTTTTTTTTATCCAGCCCCTTATTCATGTGCAGCAGTCATGTTCCCCCTTCCGAAGTTGTCCAGGGGGAAACTGTTCCTTCCTAATCTTGCTGTTCTGTAGTGACAGTGTAGGAGGTGCCATCCCTGTGTATCATTAGACTGGGCGTGTGGGGAAAAAAAGCAAACTGTCTCAGAACTTGCATTAGTGGGATATTTTTGCTTGCTGTGTTGAATGCTATTTTACAACCCACTGGAATACAGAATAACCAACTGCTATATACATTGTGACATTCAAAATGGATACAACATATTTACTAATACTGGCAATGATATGTGTGTTAACAATTTTATTTCTTTACAATGTCTTGTGGGACTGGACACCACCAAATTATCCTCCTGGACCCAAACCTTTACCACTGATTGGAAATCTCAACATTCTGGATATAAAGAGACCATATTTAACACTAATGGAGGCAAGTAATCATGTATAAATATTATGTTAAGGAATTTACAGTGTTATGTAATGTCTCTATTTCCACGCAGAGGGGGAGGGAAAGACGACATTTTATTTTACTAAAGAGGGAAAAAAGTTACATAGAAGTGTTTCTATTTCTAAAATATATATATATATATCACATGAGCTTGATCGCAGTGGAGTGTTAATAATGTCATCGATTCCTGACTGTGTACAATCATATGAGTGGGGTGCTCATGGGGTGAGCCTACATTGGTACAGTTATATGAGTGTGGTGATCATAGGGTGAGTGCATGTTGGCACAGTTTTGGGAGCGGGTTGATCATAGGGTGAGTGTACATTGATACAAGCAGGGGTTTCAAATGTAACCTTGTAATCAGTTCAATTTAGTTAAGCATACATTGGATGTATCATTCAGTCAACTGCTAATTCTTCGAGTTTACATGTATTCATGGAAATAAATGGAAAAAAGCAACTATCTTAAGCCATATTTGGGGTGGACACCGGGGACACTAGGGGGCTGTGCTGCACAGGATCCAGACAACCATGCCAACAGTTCTTCAAATTGTTAGCTATGTATAGGTAGTAGGAGGCCTCATATGAGATAGTGTGGCAATATGTTCGAATTCATTTATTTTGGAAATAAACCCGCTCTTTGATCCAAAAAGTAATTAGGAGTGTTCTCCCTTCTACTCCCCAGGTAATGCTCCTTAAGCTGTTGCCAGATCATATAAAAAAAATAATTAGGAACAGGCAGGAACACTATTTCGATGACACCAGAATTTTATTAACAAAAGCAAACCAGCCAAATTAGGGTGCTCACTCAAAAGATCCTATTTCTCCAAGGACCTATATAATCTATAACAATACTAAATGGGGAGCACAACCATACTAATAGAAACAACTTTATTAATTGAGTCTAATAATAAGAGGTATCCCAAGATACAAACAAACAAACAAAAGGACAATATTGGTAATTATAGCACATTACAGAGAGTTACAAAATGTATCACAATGCTCTATACATAGTCAATAACTACAAAGAGTTACAAAATGTATCACAATTCTCAATATATAGTAAATAACTACAAAAAGAAGAAATGCTAATCCAGATACAAATTTGATTAGTTATCCAGAAAGAGCAACTCAACAAATCCCTTTATCAAGAGAGCCTCATAAAAGGCATTATTGCTGAAATATTGGGGGCTTCTTTTTGATTTTCTCCCTCCTCTCACTACTTCTGGTACTTCTGGTAATTTTCCTGTTATGGTATGCATGATTTGTTGGGTTGCTCTTTCTGGATATCTAATCAAATTTTTCTTCCACTAAACGTCTTTACTGTTCTGAATTACACATGGAAATTCTAATTCAGACAGTGCTATCATGTGTGGGGAAAACTATCTAACAATCTGGTGTGTCCCTTTCCGAAGGCAGAGAAATGTGATAGCCATCTATATGCAACTATATTTCATTTTCTGTTTTGAATACCTTACAGCACGTTATCTTTCTGCCTATGCTGTATCTAGAAATGCTTTATTGTAGTAGAAAGTGTATTTAAGGCCTGGGTAAGTCTAAGTATCTAAATAGAAAAACACTTTGAAGCAAAATTATTACCTACCGGGATTTCTAATATTATGTTATCCCATCCCTAAATTAAATAAATGTATATTTGTGAGGTGTGAAATATAAAATCATATATAGACATTAACACAATGTTATCCTGCAACTGGGCACCTCTATCTTAGCTCCCTGTCAGTCATTGAGATAAATGCTCTCCTTTGAATTCGGTAATCGGCTTAGAGAAATTCTAGATTTGTGCACATAATAATTTTTTGATTTGGCTGAATAATATTTCCCAACATTTTTTTTTTTTTTTGCTAGGGACATCCAAGTATTATTATTATTATTAGTAGTAGTAGTAGTAGTAGCAACAGCAGTAGTTGTATTTATAAAGCACCAATAAGTTCTGTAGCACTGTACGATGGGTGGACTAACAGACACGTATCTGTAAACAGACGAGTTGGATGCACAAAAACAGAGGGATTGAGGGCCCTGCTCAGTGAGCTTGCATGCTAGAGGGAGTGGGGTACAGTGACACAAAAGGTAAGGGTAGGGTAGGAAAGCAGTTTGCTAGGATAGTATTCATTGAGGGCTTAGTGTGTTGTTTTGAGGACAGTTTCAGGAGAGAAATCATGGCACGGGGAGGGAAAGCTGCTCAATGCTTGTTCATGTGATGTACATAAGGACTCTTAAAAATATTAGCTTTGCTGAGAAAGGGCAACAAATATATGAGCAAATAAGGAATTGCAATCTATCAGAGGACATTAATAAAATAAAGACTTGATCTAAACTGGTTTTGTTTTGCATGATCATGTGTTTTTCAAATAACATCTTGTTTCAAGTGTGTATTCTGACTTTGTTTATTTATCTGGTATTTTTTCTCTCAAAACAAACATCATGCTCTTTTTTCATGTGCCTTATTTATATTTTTAAGCTTAATAGTTTTCTTATGGTTTTTTTTTTTTTTTTAAACAAACAAGTCTCCTCCAAGGGTTAGAATTCCATAAATAGTTTACCAATAAAATAAAGAAGTATAGAAATAAATATGTTAACATAAAAATGTTTTAAAAGGTGTATACTTTTTTTTTTTTTAATTCTTTATTTTATTTGTGCTTAGCGTGAACAATCATGTTTGCACTGCCACGATAGCTGGTGCAAGCAAGTACGGAAACATACATTAACATAGGTATGGCATTGAAATACATAGCACAATTTTCTTTATATTCAAGATAGGAAACATGTTAGAGGTTAAACATTGAATAGGTTAGTACATATCAGGGTCAAATGCCACAACAGCGTACATATGTGTATACAGGTTAGACTGTGGCATGAGTAATTGCACATTTAGCTTTTTATGAACAAGCTTAGTGTAACAAATGAGGTTCAGTTGAGTGTTTTAACGTGAGTATGTAGCAAGAGTGTTTTACAAGATAGCAGTATGCTTAAACAGGCTAGGTACAAGCTATGAGATAGAATCCTGTTCTGCTGTCCTTTAGTGTAGGCACGAATACAACACAATTAATATGGTGTCAGCTGTGGCACAATAGCTTGGATTGTAGGCATATAACGTGTGTTATGAGAAAAACTGTTGATGTGAGCTATTGCAGGATTACTAGTGAGGTGATCCTGGGTTGCTCCAACATGTCATGGCATGTGTTTACCTAGGGGTATGCAAACAGGAAAAAACAATCATGGCACAACATAAATTAAATTTAGATTAACGGTATCATCAGCGCGGGTGCAGAAGTCCAGTACATGAGAACATGTACTAGAGGGTGCGGGTGCCGCGCACAAGGTGAAGTGGTGGTTTCAGCCAATACCTCGACTCGGCATTTTGGGAGAGTCTCTGGATAGTGCTGTCTGAGGTAGGTATGCCAGGGTGTGTTCACTCTTCCTTCAGGCCTTCGAGGGGGCCTGCACCTGGGGTCTGTGGATCCAGACTATAGGGTATGATGAGGCTGTCGGGTGGCTGTATGTGCCTGGAGTGGTCCGCCTCTGGGTGCGGGTGCCGTGATTGTGCCGTAGTGAAGCGTGTTTTACGGCTGTGACCGGAGTGGCCCTTCGTCTTGGTGGGTTAGGACGAGGATGTGCTGATGCTTTGGACGGTGCTTTGCCCACGTGAGACCCAGGCCCTGCATGGCTCCTTTCACTTTGCCTCCTCCCCTGTTGCTGAGGATGTGAGTTTTGTTTCCGAGCTTCTATCCTATGCCAGAATTGCTCAAACAGCTTATCGAGGCGCTGTAATATGCCTTTCACCATGCTTGATTCGCCAGTCACTGGTCTGTGCAGCTCGCGCCCATGTTCAGGGAGCTCGTCCGCCATCTTAGGTAAGT